ATAAAATAAAAATTATTTTTATTTCAATATTATTAAGAAAGATTACAATTATAATAATTCGATCATCTATAAAGATTGAAATTGTTGGATAATGTGAAGATTATAATACCGGTAGATTGTTGAATTAGATATTATATATATCTTGAATTATGAACGAATTTTGTACGATTCTGAAGATGACCCGATAAGAGTCGAAATTTATTATATTTATTTGAATTTGATGAATTTTTATTGTTAACGACTATCATCCTGCAATTTGTAGCTTTTTAATTGCGAATTTTTGCGAATTTTTTAATTGTTTGAGTCTTATATTATTATTGTAATAACTCATAAATTATTATTGTAATAATTCGCAAAAAGCGGTAATTATAAGACAATCTCATGATTATTAACAGATTGTTATATAATATTCTCATATTTTTAAATTATATATTATTATGAAACTTTTTATCATTTAAAGAATTTTTCACAAAATTTTATCAGAATAAAGCTTTGAAAAATTCTTGAAACAAAGTTCTCAACTTGTCAAAAGAGAAAAACATGCAGTGTTGAAATGATTCGAAGTATTATTTAGTATCGTGTTGCAAACAGGGAAGCAGAACAGCAGGTGCGCGTGCGGAACATAATAATTATAGGACACGCATGCATGTACGCGAGGGATTTCTGACCATATAGAATTTATGTGTTACATTTTTATTTAGTAATGTAAAACAAGGGGTAACCACCCTACCTTATATGTACTGTGGATATTAACTGCAACAGACATGAAACAAAAATATTTTATTCATTTAATGTAAACTATACAATTATGGAACGGTTTATATACTTACAAAATTTATTTTTTGAAAAATTTTAAGTCTTTGATTTTTTATCTCTTTTTTCTTAAAAAGATTAAGTACCTTAATTTTTTTAGTACGTAATTAATTTTGATGAATGATAGAACGATATTGATGTATATACATATTATGTATATCTATTTTTAAATATATTAATATTTTGAAAATTAGTCAGTAATAAAGAGACAAGGATTGAAGAAAAAGATGCAAAAAGATATCTATAGATATACAATAATTAATAAATTAATAATATTGAATTATATATAGAAGTATATATATTTTTTATTACTTTTATAACTATTATTTATTTCTTTGTAGGGAAAAACTTAGAAGTTTATTTCTTTTAAATTGTTTTTTTTTTTTTTATCAAATATACTTGGTTATTATTATGAGCGATGAGCAATGTTACAAATAGAAAATTGACTTTTGATATTATATGAGATACGCCATATAATTATGTATTTATCTGATCTCAAATCGACATCATTTGATTATCTACAGGAGGTCGTTCTACCCCTTTATATCCTCGGAACCTTGATCGTGGTGAAGGTCATGATACCCAACCCAAACTTTCCTGCGATGCTGACGCAGAGGCATGAAGGGGATATATTTGAATTATTCAATGGCTACAAAAATAATACAATCGCTGTGGTGCCCAATTCTACGGAAACCCTTGTGAGTACTATTCTCTAAAAATTATTTCTAAATCTCGTTAAATAGTTAAATCAAGTATAAATATTTTTATTTTCAAGTGTTCTAGTGTTAGTATCTTTTCAAGTGTTATAAAACATGTCTGTATGTACATATCCGAATAAAATTACTGTATATTGTTTATTTAAATTTATTTTTTATTAAAAACATTTTTCGCTGAATTGATTTTTAAATAATTTTTAAATAAAATCCCCTTTTCTTTCAAATCTAAATTGTGTAAAGTTAAGACTTTAAAACAAATTTCATATTTTATATTTTTCAATAAAAATATAAAATCTTGATTCCATTTTTTTAAACATTTTGAGATAATATTTTATCTATTTAGAAATAATTTTTTAACTTCGAATTTATTAAAAATTACACTTCTTTTCGCTAAATATGTATAATGTATATCTTTTATAATATTGTAATTTTATTAAAACATAAACTGCTTTGAAAGCTCTCTTTGCCGGATATTTCGTGATATAAAATTAACGTTGTATTTTCTAGAGCTTCTTAAGCTCCATGAATAGCCTCTGGCTCTCTATGTGGGATTATCCCGGTAAGCTTCCCTTAAACTTCATGGTGTTCGACACGAAAGATGATCTGCAAGCAGCGTATTGGAGAGATCCTTACAGTATACCCCTAGCAGTTATCTTCGAAGATCCCCAGCCAATATCGCAGCGTCTTATGTAAGATAATTTTTACATTATTTTAACCATTAAACGAATTAAATTTAAAACATGCGCGTTTTTTTTCGAGGAAAAATGTATGCAGAGATTCAAGGAAAAAGACATCTTTTTATAAGGATTTTTATTTCTTATGTTTATATTAAATCATTTTCTGTAGCAGTTATTTTTAAAATTAAAGATGTCCAGTAAGCAAGAAATATATTGAAACATTCGAATAATGTTACAATGTTGCTGCAATGTTTTAATATGTTTCTTGCTTGCTGGACAAAGATTTTTATAAAGGTTACAAATAATAGTCAAAATTATTCTTAAAAGCAGAATTTTTTTTTTATTACTTTTAGTAACATAGAGAAAATAATTTAATTTTTTAAATAAAAAATATAATAGATTCTAATTAATCTTATCTGATCTTTTACAATTAATTTATCTAATTATTTTACTATATTATCACCTTTTTGCTAAAAATGGCTATAGTTATAATTAACATTAAAAATATTTTATGCCTAATAAATTTTGTCAAATAAATTTCAAAATCAAGTATATAACAATGAGTACTACTATTAAGTATAAACCATTAATCATGATATTTTTCTTTTTTTATTTTGATTTGATTCTGTAGAAAATGTTAGCTCAGTGTCTTTTATTAACATACGAACCTTTCATGCTATTTAGATATGAAATTAGAACGAATCCTTCATACGTCTTGCCGCCATCGCCAACCGAATTGTATTCTGCTCCGATCAGTTGTCGAAAGAATAAAACTGGTCATTGGATGGACGATCTTTTATCGATAAAAACCGGGGAATCTTGTCCCGCCAACAATTACCTGCATTCCGGCTTTTTGGCCTTGCAGGTGATGATGGATATCACGAAGATAAGAGTGAGTTTTTCTTTTACTTTAAGCTTAGTAAATATCCATTAATTTTATTTTATTATTTGATAAGAATGTAGGTTCTTACTAAAACATTCTTGTCTTACTCAAATGTATCATGAAATTGGTCCTGATGTTATTTTTTGCAGTTTATAAATCCGGGAAATCCTGATGTAACAGTACCGGATATTAAACTCATAATGTTCCCTAAAGAAGCGTATACCGCTGGTAAGTGATGTGTACCAGAAATTTTTAGATTTATTTATTTCTGCTGTACATGCCGCGTTCAGTGTGTTAATGATTATCTTATTTTCTTAGATTGGATGTTGGCCTTCAGAGTTGTTATTCCGCTTTACATGGTTTTTGCGCTCTCGCAATTCATTACCTATCTTCTCATCTTAATAGTTGGCGAAAAGGAAAATAAGATTAAAGAGGGAATGAAGATGATGGGTTTGAACGATTCCGTGTTTTGGTAAGAACGCAATATTTATAAGCACGTAATATCGATTTTAAGTTTTGATAATATATGATTTTGGAAAAAAATAAATTTATGTCAAATGTTATTATTAATATTCTCTTATAGCGTCACGTATGTCTTTTCTTTTTCTTGTAGGTTGTCCTGGTTCATCATTTACAGTATCTTCGTCTTTTTGCTCTCTGCCGTCGGAGTGGTATTGCTCTTCACCCTACAAATGTTTCAACACACGCATTTCCTGCCGATATTTCTTTTGGTGGTTCTATACAGTTTTTCCGTGATTATGTTCGCCTTTATGATTACGCCATTCTTCGATAAATCGCGCGTAAGTAATTCTTAATGAGATTTGTCTTCATATATTTTTTTCTTTTTATGTTTAAAAGGTTTAATTTTTTTCCAAAACGCAAGTTTTGTAATAATTTTTATGATTGTATGTGTGTCTTACCATTATTAGATTAGATTAATACAGAATAATAAAATATATAAATTATTTGTTTATTATTTTCTTAATAAAGAAATTAATAAATACAATATGAGCAATAAAAATATCTTTTCAGACGGCTGGTGTCTTAGGAAACTTCGCTGTTACAACACTGAGCTTGATGTACTTTATCCAAGTGTTTGTGAGTGATTCCAGTTCAGTCACATACTGGTTGGTTTCTCTAATCAGTCCAACTGCATTCGCTTTGGCGATGGATAAGGTAAATCTTAAAATATTTTCTTAATTTCTTATATATTAGGTATAGTAAAAATAAATCCATTATTTTTGCATGAAATTGAATGGAAAAATAATGGATTTCTTTTTACTACACCTAATATATGCTTGACATAATGATCTTCTTTTTCAAAATCTAAGATGCATAATGCATGATTGACTCAGAATCAATATTTACGCAAAATTTCTTCATTTTCCTTTTCTTCTCATTTTATTTATTACAT